TTCATGAGGCATTTTCTAGAAACGTGTGCTTTTCCAGAGGACAAAACCATGTCCTTACCATTTTCAATAAAACAGTGAGATTAAAGCAAACACTTTGGATCTCGGCTGAGAAGCTCACAGGAAACAGATGCATCTATCTGCTGCAGTTACTGGTCACAGGAAGCTGACCTGAAGTGCACACTGGACAGCTCACAATCTCACATAAACGATGGTGCCTTGGAAAATACATTGTGTGGGGTAAAGACAGACAGGCCTCTGTGAGGTAGTTTCTGCTGGTGAGGGGAGGAAGGTGTGGCACATTAACTCTCCTTCCTCCCGTGTGTGACTGAAGAGGGAAAAGTAGAAAACTTTCTGATTTGAACCATGAGAGGCAAGTGCTGGCACAGCCCTAGCATTTTACACGAGAAGGAGAGGAAATTACATACAGTCTCCACGTGAGACAGAGAAATCCAGAATATACAAAGCACCTGCTGCCCATGTCAGTGGGCCCCAACTCTTTTAAATGCAATCTCCACTGACTAGCACATTGCTTTTGAAGATGGGTTAACTCCAGCAGGTGCGGTGAGTGCAGGAGCAAAGCCGTAAAAAGAGCCACCACACCAAGGTTCCATACAAGCCAATCAATTAAGAGTCTAAATGAAGTGCCTGTGCCACCGCACATAACACATGAAACAATTGTGGACCCGTTAATGAACAGTCATGTTAGCAGGATTGCACTGTAAGCTTCCTCTGACTGACGGGAATATAAAGGCGACTCTCAGACTGTTTGGAGAACAATGCCTAGCATCCTGGCTGATCACAACAATGCTCCCCAGATAGAGGGGCTGAGGCTGGCTCTGTGGGAGCAGCAACAAAACAAAGAAGACCACAAAGGGTCATAAAACGTGGAGGAAAGGAGAGTCCTAACACTGGGTAAGACAGCGCTTTGGAGTGTTCTAGGAGATGCCAGAAACCACACTTGCTAAAACAATGTGTGAGTGAGCCGAAACACTTTCGTGAGCTACATTTCCAGAAAGCATACTGAAAGGCTGGTTTTAAAACACAAATCACCACTTCCTTCCTATGAACATCAGTCAATTTGAAAAGAGACCACTGTGGCTGGAGAGACGGTTCCGTGGTTAAAAGCGTTTGCGGCTCTTCCAGAGGACCTGGGGTTGGTTCCAAGCACCAAGAAAAAATACAAATATTTTAATTCCTCTTCTAAATTACATGAAGCCAGAAAACCAATTACAAGAATGAAAACTAGAAATGAAAACCTAAAAACAGGACTACTGAAATCAGTGTTTTAAAGTGACTCTCTGAGACCCAGTTAGACTGTTGTGTGTGGAATTTACATATGTAACCAAGAAAATTCGAGAAGGATAAGAGCTATGGGGTCCACTAGCTAGTAAATCTTCAGAGCCAAGTGAGCTTCAGGCACAGTGGGCACTTCAGCCATATTTGTTGAATGAGCAATCTGAATCTTGCACCCTCTTAAGAAGAAGAGTCTAACCCCAGAGGGTGGGGAGATGCTTAGTGGGGAGCCTGCTTGCGGTCCAAGCATGAGGACCGGAGGTCGGAGCCCCAGTTCCCATGTGAAAATCTGGGGATGGCAGTGTTTGTCTGCAATACCAGCTCTGGGAAGATGGAGACGAAAGGATCGGGTTTGCTGGCTGAGGAGTCTAGCCGAACCCATGAGCTATAGTTAACGTGAGAGACCTCCCTACAAGTAAGATGGGTAGCAATTGGGAAAGATACCCAACATTGACCTTCAGCCTCCAAACACATGTGAGTGCACAGGCACACTCACAGGAACTCATGTGTGTGCGCCACACACAGACACACACACACAGACACACACACACACACACACACACACACACACACACACACACAGACACACACACACACACACACACACAGACACACACACAGACACACACACACACACACACACACACACACACAGTAGCTACACAACTAACATAAAAACTGACAATACAACTGAGCAAATGATGGAGTACAGAGCTCACATTTCCCCTTCTCCACCTGACTTGTCTACTACAGTACAAAACACCTGGAATTTAATAGAGGGCTGTACAATGAACAGTGGCTCCAAAGGTGTTTGCATGTGACTCCCTGGAACCTACTTCCCAGAACCTACGCTTTCCGTAGCAAAAGATAGAGTGCACGTGGCACTGATGGAAGGAAGACTACTAAATGACAGGGTTATCCTGGTGTGCTACTTAGAGTTGGAAATCACAGTGAAGCAGGACTGTGGAGTCTGGCGTGCTGAGCAGACTCATCTGGGGAGGACAGGCCGTCTTTAGAAGCTCAAAAGGCAAGAGATAACAGCTGCTAGGAACACACCGGCCAGCACCTTGACTTTGGCATTCTTCTTCCCCCTATAGGAGAAGAAACATGTGTTGTTTCAAGTCACAAGATTATGGTGGCTTGTTACAGGAACAACACACTAACTAAATTGAAAGAGTGGACATATAATATGTTTGGATAGAACTAAACTCTATCTTGATAAGTTATTGTTAATAAGTATCCAAAAGGAATATCCCCAGAGTTCATTTAGAAATTCACACTGCCAGATGGTGGTGCCCGCCTTTAATCCCAGCACTCTGGCGGCAGAGGCAGGGGGATCTCTGTGAGTTTGAGACCAGCCTGGTCTCCAGAGCGAGTGCCAGGACAGTCAGGGCTGTTACACAGAGAAACCCCCATCTTGGGGGGGGGAGAAATTCACATTTATATCTATGAGCTTATGCTCTTTCCCACTCTCAAAAGTCACTTGATGATATGTTGGTGGACAATATAGGAACCAAATGTATTTATTTGGTCCTCATTGGTAAATCACTGGGGTTTTTTTTAGGGCTTTTTTTTATTTTTTTATTTTTTTAGGGAAAGGGATTATAAAAAGGAAAAATGGAAGGGGGGGAGACCGGCCTCAGGAAACAGGAGCAGCAGCAAAGAGGAGAAAGGAAAGAGTGGGGAGAGAGGGGAATAGGCAGAGAGGAAGAGAAAGAAAGAGAGAGAGCTGGATATTCTTGGATACCTCAAATCCTAATATGTGCACTTAAACCAAGAGTTAAGAAAAGCAATGATAACTGTTTTCTTGCATTCATTTGTGGAAGGAGGTGGGGTTGGGGGGTGTCAAACTCAGGTTGTCAGCAAGCGCTTTGTTCTCTGAAGAATCTCACTGGTTTGAATGAAATATGAGGTTTGCATGAAAATCACTCCAGATCCAGTTCTGAGGGATGCAAATTTTGAATGGAGGAGTGAAAAGTGGGCTACACATCAATGCTCAGCGAAGTTCATCCTCACCATTCACTGTCGGCAAAGAAATACAGAAGGGAAACTACATCCTGCAAAATAAGTTCCAGGCCACACAGGGTGCCGAAAGGATGACCTCAAAAAGAAATCCTTTGGTGTGGTCCTGCAGGTGTCCGCTATGACTGGGCGGAGGGAAAAGCCCCGGTAAGACATGCTGTATGGCATGCGGCCTATGGTGCTTATTTGATGAGGGGTGCCTAGCAGACTCCAGTGTATGCTCACACACTGAGAACACCTCCCTGAAGACTGCAAACCTTTGGAAATAACAGTCTTAAAGCTCACGACAGAAAAAACAATCAAAACCCCCAAAACTTCAAGAACCTCTCCTTCCCCCACCAAATTAAAATAGTAGAACAGGCCCATCCCTGCTGCTGATCAACTCAAAACTGCCCACATAAGAAACTTTCAGAATGACTGTCCTCAGCAGGTTTTACTCTTTTGTGGCATAAAAGACCATCTCCGGCTGATAAGATTTCCTGTGTATAGACAGGAGAGAATGGTTTGAAACCAAGCAGAAACAGCCCTTGGGTTGGGGAGAGTTGGCCTTTGATAGAAACAGCATATTAAAAGTGAAAGGTAAAACAAAGGGTTGTGACAATACCAGCTGCCAGGTGTCTTTTATGGTGCAGAAAGAGAAATGTTCTAGATTTATCCAATACCACCATTTCTACAACAAAATCAGAGAGAATGGTGACGTGAAACACAGTACATGCTCACTCTGCCTGGCTTGGTGAGAACATGGTGTCCACTTTGTTCTGCTCTAGGGCTGTTTGACTTATAGAAACACCAGATTCCCTAAACATATTTCATTTTCAGTTTTATTCTTGGTTGACCCTTTGCATGCATAAACTTGGGCAATAGTAGTCTCAGATGTTTACCACCAAAATTTAAATGTGAAATAATATCAGACGTGCTAGGGTTCTCTTGGTAAGTAGTATTCCCTGTACTAAGCTTGGCTCAGACTTCCTTTGGAAAGAGAATCTTGACCTGCTCTTTCCCCAAGGAAGCAAAGAGTGACCCCTCTTACTACTCCTGTCCCTCAGTGAACCATGGCAGCATCCACTGAAAATGGGAACTGTGGTTCTGTTCCTCCAATTAGGATACACCTCCTGAGGTCACTTGTCTCTCCATCTCTAGGATGCTAATATCTGTACATAATAACGTCCCAATAAATAGCTAAGGAACAAGCAGACACTAGTTTTAAATAATTTAAAAGATCATTATAGCCCACTTTGAGTATTGCAACTGTAATCACACCAGTGTCTAGAAATTGCTTTCAAGGGTCATCTATGCTCTCTACATAGAGAGAAGAGAAAGGAACAAATGTAGTAATGAATAACAGGGGTTCATCAAACTGTTCAACATTTCTGTGGATTTAGAATTTTTCAAATGAAAAAGCTAGAAGGAAAAGAGGACACAGATATCCTAGAGTTAGCCTTTGTCATAACTGCTAACACATTGATGATGATGATAAAACAGTGCTATGCTCTCAAAGCACATTCATTCCCATGAATGTGAGTTTAACTGCAGTACCTTTGAAAAAAATCTATTTTGAATGCCTAAGAGCTCCTGTTATATGTGACCTTATTTGGAAATGCAGCCTTTGCCTTTTTACAAGTTCAGATGAATTCACACTAGAAGATGGGCCCTCAATCCAGAGTGTGATGTGTTTATAAGATAGGGAGGAAAGCTGCACAACAGACTACAGTTGGTGTGATACCATACTGTAAGCCAAGGTTAGAATCTCTAACCACTCCCCCAAGCTGTAGGAGGCAGTAACTGCCCTGCTAGCCCCCAATTTTGAATTCTTGCACCAGACCTATAATGTGTCAAGTCATCAGATTTGTAGCAATGTTAATAGGAGCCCCAGAAATCTCACTGGCTGGCTGGCTGGCTGGCTGGCTGGCTGGCTGGCTATCTATCTATCTATCTATCTATCTATCTATCTATCCATCCATCCATCCATCCATCCATCCATCCATCCATCCATCCAGGGTCATCATATCAGACACTGGGATCAGGCAAGCTAGCTCAAAGGTTATCTCTAGCCACTGTACATACAGAGCACATAAAATTTTATGCAAAAATACCTATGAAAGGGCCTCTCCTACTCTGGAAGAGGAGAAAACTGAAAAAAGTAATGTTTACTATTTTAGAGTTTGCTGCCCACCGAGTCATTAGTGTTGTCTCTGTGTATTCTGGGATACAAACACATTTAAAGAGAGCTGTCAGTGAGGCTGTGACTTACCTGCGCAGGTCCATATGGATCATCGTCTGCCATGTTGACGCTGTACACAATGAAACAAAAGGAATCAAAACTGTAATACTGGAATGAACCTTAAAAGTCCCACAACCTTGACATAAATGCAGGGATAGGCTGAATTCCTGCGGGGATGACAGACACAAAGGTCTCCAGAAGACCTCAGCAGGAGGCATGGTAAATGCAGTCCCTCCTAGGCATCCAACTCTCACAGCAAGGAGATCACAGGATCCAATGTCCTCAGCCAGATGCAGCTGGCCTTACCTCTGTGTAAAAATCATCTGTAGATGGAGTTCACTTATTATGGTCTAAATATCAACAGTTTGCAGTCTTATCTCTTCTATGTGTGATTTTCTCATGAGCTCTGAAATGGTCTTTGAGCTGTCTAGACTTGGTTGAGAAGCCCAAGAGGCCCTGATACTAATTTGCATAACATTGGGGAGGGGAGCCATAGAATGCCACCTTCTGCCCTCTTGTGAGAACCAGTGAAAGTTATTCTGCCTTTGTCAAAGAGAAATGCAAAACTCTGTAGATCTAAAAAGTACAATAAAAAAATGCCAATGACAGCATCAACCCTGTAAATCTCAAATTCACTGAATCCTGGGCAGCTATTTATATGCAGAGGCCCCAACAATCTTCAGCCACCCAGAGACCTTGACAAACATGAAGAACCACATGGTTCTGCCTCGAAATCACATTTCATGCAAGGTAAACCCCAAATATAGAGAAGACGGGGCTTCTACTACATGAATGGGTGGACTCTGGATCCACAGCAACATGGAACAGGGCTGTAGGGCCATCCTGTGGCATGCACCCCTGCTGATGTACAAAAGGAGCCTCTTTGTCCTTCTTTAACTCGATGTACTATCCGGTCTCAAGCATCTCATAACATCCCCAGAAGTACAAGGCTTCATTTCCAGTGCAACGCTCCTGTGCTAAGTGTCACTTGTACCAAGTGACAGTGGAAAGCAAGGAAACCTCCTGGGTACTCTCAGTGGGTCATGGAGCAACACCAGCTGCAACTGCAGGCAAAGCAGTGGCTGGGAGTCCTAGGGAACAAGTTCACACAGGTTTGCAAGGGGATATTTGCTTAATGTAAGAAACTAACACAAGCTGAAGAGCTGGCTCAACAGTTAAGAGTGCTTACTACTTACATGGGGCCGTTCAGGACGTGGAACTCCAGTTACAAGGGATCTTGATAGCCTCCTCTGGCCTCTGAGGTACCTGCACACAGATAGTATACATAAACTTATGCAGGTATACACACAAACACATAATTTAAATATGTATTTAAACACACATACATATATACTTATTTAAAAAGAAAATATTTGCTGAGTGTGGTGGCACATGCCTTTAATCTCATTCAGCATTTGGGAGGCAGAGGCAAGTAAATCTCTGTGTGGTAAAGGCTACTCTGGTCTACATGGTGAATTCTAGAGCTACATAGTGAGTAAGACTCTGTCTGAAAAACATATCCAAGTATCTGCAACTAAGTATGTACCTGTTCAGACAAGTAGTTAAACAGGGGACTATTGACTTGATATTGTAAAGGGGTATTAAGCCATCCAAAATACCAGAGTTCTGCCACTACTGGGTGTGTGACTTTGGATACTAGTTACGCTCAAGGTGGCCCCTCTTTTTGAGCCTGAAAAATTACAAGACTTAGAATGGGATGGATGTTTAAAAGGTTAAAATATTGAGCACTGGATACTTTAGCTAATGAGTGCCCATCTGTAGAACACAGTCTCAAAGGTAAAACATGGGTTGGTAAAGATGGATTTTATATGTGTGTAAGCATGTATCCATACATGTCATTATACATGAACTTTTATAAGTGGGTATCTGTATAAAAATTCAGTACACAGTCTAATTACTGGAATACTAGTAAGAACAAGTCACACAAATACAATACAGGGATAATAACCTTTATTCTAAACTTCCGCAAACAGTGTTTACACCATCCTTCTTCCTAGGTATTCTTGCCTAACAACCTGAAAACAGTCTTCTAAAGTGGAGGTGACACTATTGCCTTGTTTAACTGACAAAACCCAGTACCTCTATGGCATTAATTATATGTATATCTGAACAAGGATAGCACCAATAGACAGGCTAATGTGAACATGAGATAGCTCAGGAGGCCTCTACCCTAGAATAAGAACCACAGGCAAACCAGGAATGCTGAGAGAGGGAGAAACAGTCTTCCCCAGGGAAGTGCACATTGATTGGTCATTCTATACCAATGAAAACATACATGTAAGTAACTGAACAGATGGAGCAGATTGTATTTATGGTCTCAGACACACACACACACACACACACACATTTAACAACAATTAAGTAAGGAAAAAAGAGGCCATGAATTTTTGAAAGAGAGCAAGGGAGGTAACAAGGCAGGACTCTGAGGAAAGGGAAGGGGGAAAAGATGTAATTATACTATAATCTTAAAAAACATAAAAATTATTTTTAAAGACTGGATGGTTTTGTAGATCTTTGAGTGTGGGGACTTAGAGCAGGTCTTACTAGATGGAAAGCTATCCTCCTGGTCCATATTCCAGACAAAGTGTTAATGAAGATCACTCTTCTTTAGACACGTGACAAGCCAACCAACAGTTTGTCTTCAGTAACACCTTGTTCTAAAGCTTCTAGACTATGTGTGCCTAAAAACATAATTCTATAAAACACTTAGGAAGCCTAAGGAACACTTGGATGGTTAAAATCTTGACTTACAATGTCTTGGTAATTACTGAAGCATTCAGAGGTAATAGCAACTCTAGGGTGATGTCAATGCTAATACATAATTTTTAAAATAAAATGTCAAAAGAAACCAAGAGTCATTTGGAAAGGATGAATCACTGGGTAATATTTGCATTGATTGCAAAAGCAAGTTTTATATCTAAAATGTTGAAATATCTACTAGGCCTTGGAACTGAGGATCAGAAAAGCAGTGGGAAAGTCCCTTCTGCACCCCTGCTTCCCCAGCCTTCCCCCACTTTCCTTTTGCTCACTCCTGTGCTTTTGAGGAAGCACCTTGAGACATAGAGGGAGAATAGCCTGGGTCTCATTTCTGCATCGTCTCCTGCAACCGGAGGCTTTAGGAAGATCTTCACACCACACAGGGAGACACAAAAAGTGGAGCGAGGTCTCAAGAAATATCCAGGGAGTTGTGTTTTTCACATGAAGCATAATGTAACAAAACCAGCCAAGCCCTGAGTGTGACATAGTCTATGAACGCTGAATGGGCTGTCTGCTGCATTCCTGTGGCCATCTTCCCAGTCACTAAACCTGACATGGGGGCATCTTGGTGAAGTGGCTCCACTGAGAGGAGAAACTCTAAAGCCACGGGGGTGAGTCATCAAGGAAGGAGCCGGAGCACTCCTGTCAGCAAGTGTATGGAATCTAGGATCAGAGATATTGGAAGCTTGAGATGCTGACTCACTGCAAAACAACAGCAACAAAAACATAACTTTCTATTGTTTTAGATTTCACTGGGGGGGGGAAAACCCTCTAATTTTCCAAACTAAAACGATATCGTAATCCACGGGGAATCACAATTTGCACAGTAGAGATACCAACTAGAGGGTACACTTGGGAATCAGGGGGTAGTTCAAAATTGTATTAGCCATAACAGGTACCACTTAGGTATAATTTTAATGCCCAATTATTATTATTTTTTAGCAATAAAGGTAAAGTTACAGGGAAAAAAGACTTTTCATAGCATTTCTACATTATATTCTGCATGGTTAACAAATTGTTAAAGACAAAAATCATAAAATATATTGAAATTTCTTTTCCATAGATAAATTGTTGGAGAAAACATGATGTAAGGGTTGTAGCCACGTGCAGTACATACCATGTAAAACATTCAGAGGGGGTGATTTCTGTTTCTAAAAATCCATTTTTAGGCATTTTTAATGTGCTTTGAAATAATTGTTTACATTATTATTCTACAATTATAAATACTATGGACTTGCTACAGTAATTATATATATTTATATATATATAGTGACATAGAAATCTAATGTATTAGATCTGTGATAGAAAAAGAGGTTGTCTTTGATTTAAAATGTTCTGACACTGTTAAATAAAATATGAAGTACTAACTAATGAGTCAAAATTTTTTATTCCTTCTCAGCCCTCTTCAGAAGACATAAGCTAGGAAACAACTGGCACACAAATGTTGTGTGTCCCCCCTTCTGACAGTATACTGCACTGGAGATCAAAGTCGGCAGTGCACTCACTTTTGTCAGAAATGCTGATTTCTGAAACTTTTCTTTTCTTTTTAGGGAATCAATGTTTCTGTGTATGCTACCACACTGACATTTGTGCAAACTAATTTTCTACTTCTTCCATTGTCAATATTACCTCACCGGGAACATCATGACAATGTATAGAACAGCCACCTGCTGAATGCAAATATATGTACTGAGAACTGGTGGAGATACCCACTCCTGATGGAATGTCAATTTAACAGGAGAGCAGATCCATTGAGAACATTCACTTAGTTAATTCATGGAAAACTTATTAGTGAGTGGGAGATACAGAACACGTGTTAACACATCAGACAGTCTAATAAATACCACACTCATGATAAATTACAGAGAGAGTGACGCAACAGTAAATGTTTTCATTGTCCTGAGAAAGAGAATGTTGTGATTTGAATAATAATGGCCCCATAGGCTCATGTATTTGGATGTTTAGTCACCAGGGAGTGGCACTATTTGAAAGGATTAAAAGGATTACAAAATGTGGCCTTGTTGGAGGAAGTGTGTCACTGGGGAGTGGGCTTTGAGGTTTCAAAAAGCCCAGTCTCTCTCTTAATCTGCCTATGGATCATGGGTAGAACACTCATTGCCTACCTGTTTGCCCCATGCTCCCTGCCATGATGATAATGGACGAAACCTTAAACACTCATTGACTACCTGTTTGCCCCATGCTCCCTGCCATGATGATAATGGACGAAACCTTTGCAATGTGGGTGGGCCCCCAATTAAATGCTTTCTTTTATAAGAGCTGCCTTGTCCATGGAATCTCTTCATAGCAACAGAACAGTGACTAAGCACATAGGTTGTTTAATTTACCATCCATTCAACCACATTTGAGTCTGAAGTGGTTGTATGCCACTGCCCTATAAAATATTTGTATTCTCTCTGCCAGGGCAGAGAGGAGGGATTTGGAAGTTATTCTCTGGAGTGTTCTGGGCTGACCTAGCATAGCTGGTCCTGCCAGCTTCGAGGTGATCTGAATATCTTGGGAGGCACAGGATTGCCCCTACAACAAATTACCTAATCCCAGGTGCCAGTTGCACGGAGAAGAAACCATGATGAGGGCTATGGCATCACAATAAGTGCTTTGGTTCATGTGGAGGAAGAGTCAATCTTGGCAGGTTGCTTCCTGTAACCCAGGAACCACAGGCACTGTCACATATGTCATTTGTTATGCTGAGCCCAGAAAACGTAGCCCATGTGAAGACTGAGCTCTAGAGAGACATTTGCTCAGGCTGACAGACTACAGGCAGCTTATGTGACTGCACACAGTCTATGGCCCCTGTACTCACGTAACGGGCAATGTGATTTTCCTCTTGACATGAGTATTATTCACTTTAATGCGTCTTCGCCGCCAGCCTCTCAAATGTTCTGGCTGGTACTAGTCTACTCACAATGTCAGTTGCTACGTAGATCCTTCTTTTCTTTAAGGTTTTATTCATGTTCATTTTATGTGGCCTGAGTGTTCTGCCTGCAAGCATGTATGTACCTCACGAGTGTGAGGGTGCTGACTGAGGCAAGAGGAAGGTATCCGATCCCCTGGAACTAGAGTGGCAGGAAGCTGTGAGCTACCATGTGGGTGTTAGGAACTGAACCTGGGTCCCCTGCAAGAGCAGAAAGCACTCTTCACAGCTAAGCCACCTCTCTAGTCAGGTTAAGCAGGAGCTTAAAGGGTTCAGCCCCTGTGCTGGTGGCTGGGCAGGTGGGGCTGGGAAGTCGCCTGCCATGATAACCACCATATTCCTCCTCTTGCAGTTGTTTCTGTTTGTTTTCAGACAAGACCCTTCAGAGAAGATGGCAAGGGGCTGGTTGAAACCTGCCAAATTTGCCACGTCCCTCTTCTAGGTGACCTAGAGTGATCTTTCCTCCTATAATCTTGTTATAATGCTAAATTCTCCACAGTAGAGGCATTCTGCCCCTCTGTCAAGTCTGAGCATGCCAGGACATGAAGTAGCATCTGTCATGGTGACTGGAACAGGGACAGGCTCCCTCTGCACTCACTGAGGAGTCGCCCCAGTCTTCGAACACACTGCCCGGTCCAAATCCTTTGGGGAGACATATGGCAGGAGTCTCCGAATGCTCTCCTTCCTCGTTCACCCTTTGATCTCCTGGGTGTGCTTTCTGTCCCTACAGTATTACCTGGTGGACCCACCTAACTCTTCTACAGAGCGTAGCTTGGGGAACAGAATAGGATCCTGACAATGCTTGAATTTCAAATGAACTACTCCCAAGGCAATCCAAATGTGAAGGTAAAAATAACAATACTAAGTCAATGAGACTTTAAAAACTTCCTATGCTAAGTTTCAAAGGATAGATAGAAAAAAATTATCTCAGAAGACACATTTACTAAACTAAAAATGAAAATGTGTTTGAGCTTCATCTACAGTGCTATCAGGAGCAGGTCCATGGTACATGTGTATGCCATGTTCCGAGTCACAGGTAAACCATGTCTGAAATGTTCCCTGAATGTTTCCTAACCTTCATTAATTCCTCAGAAAGCAATTATCTGACCATGTCTGTTTCCAAAGAAGCAAAACTGCACAAGAGTGACATAGTCTGCACTCAGAGTTTATAGCTGTGCTACACTGAAACAATGGCCACAACTGTTTCATACTCCATACAACACAGGGAATATAAAATCGATATCTCCTCCTTGAATCTTATCAGGCCCACGGCAGGCACTGACCAAGGGCTGGGGGGGAGGCGGGGGTGCAGAAGTAGGTCATGAACATGGGTTTCAACAGGCCACGCAATGGCCAGTTTCTCTTTCCTGGAAGGGGAGGGGAAGAAGGCCTGGGCTGACCCAATGGAGGGCGAGAGCCCATGAGGAGTTGGAGAAGAAGCAAGGCTAGCCAAGACTGCCCAGGCTGAGCTCACAGTAGCAGAACAGCCAAACAACTTCACAGATCAGCCTGACAAATCACCACACATAATCACAGGTTTACAAGAAATAAGGCATGTCTGTGTTTCTATTTGTTTCTTTGTGATTTCTCTTGCAGCAAAAGATAACCAATCCTAAAGACTGGTA